TTTTTTTGTAAGGTGAGGCGGGGGGGGGGAATCCTCAAATAAGTACTGAAACAATATTTCCTGGGGTAAAATTAATGGAAGATTATAATTTCAACAAAATGTGGTTCAACCATGCAATTCAAAGATTTTTTTCCAGAATTCCTCTCAGTCGGTTTGGATTTTTACCCTCCTGAATTGCCTAATATGGTATCTTTGACATGATATCAGGTACATCTTTGTGTACATCCCTAATCCAGATTGTATGTGAACAAATTAAATAGCACAATTTTGAATTCAGATCCTTGGAGGAACTCCATTCTTTCAATCATTAACAATCCATAAAATGTACCCATTATGCTAAGCTTACCCAAAAATCTTCACTGAAGTACGTTATCAAAGGCATTTTGGAAGTCCAAACTCAAATGCATAATGAAGTATGTGACTCACCATCATAGTGGAGTGTCATTCACTATAGTAATATTAAATTGTACTAATATTGGATACAATTTAGTTCTTATCTACTAAAATTTAGTAAACATTTGCTTTTGATTCTCAGTAAAACTTGAAACAGGATTCTCAATCTTTCTAGCACTAAATGAACCCAAGTAACTTCAGTTGCTAAACTACAATTTCATAGAAACCTTTGTGATGTGGTAACTCCTATCTTGGCTGACAGACAGAACTGAACCATAGATCTTCCTAGCTAGAAGCACTCTGAAGCTAATTTATTATTCCTTATCTTTGCCCCCAATCAGAGCTTGCCCTTTTTCAAGGATACAGAATTCACAGATTAACGCCTCATCTGGAGTTAATTCTAGTACAGTATCATTATCCTGAAATAGCAATCTGTTGCAAATAAAGAGAATCTAGATTTAGTGCAATAACAATCTTTGAGACCATTTATTTCTCAGAAATAAAACAAAGAATCTAGCACCTACAAATGCTTTCCTGTGCTCCCATGGGAATGTTTTAAATGTCTGGACTAACAGTATTATTGGTTGCTGCTATTCTTACTAATGTCACAAGGAAACTGATATAGACATTGAGAAGGCCTTGCTCAAGATACAGTCTGAGATAACAATCCCCCCAATTTGTTTTCATCCTAAATCCCTCACAGCATCCTAGAAGGAAAATGTATGCTTTCCCCTCTACTACTCAAAGACTTTACCTTCTCTAATGACCTTCAGGTATACTAGAGTATCATTAGCAGATGGCTAAAATGGTTTGCTCTAATGTGGGTAATCAACTTGCAAATGAATCATTCATTTCTTCATTTATTTCCACTCTAATAGGATCTCTCAACTATTTGTGTGGTTTATACACTATTTTAGGGAATGTTCACAATCCTCTTTGTGCTTTCTACAACACACACACAGGAAATGCTTTGTAAATAATTGTCACAATGAGTTTAGAATGACCAAATAAGTAATATAATTGCAGCATGCTATTAGGGATTAACCAAGACTTTCTACTAAAATCCTCTAAGGCAACATAAAGTCAAGGCCATCTCAAAATATGTAGATACCCAATATTGCAGTCAAAATATTTCTTAGATTAGAAGCTATATTTGATCACAGTGAGGTTTGTGCCTTCATCTACCAACCTAGCATGACCAATTATTTTATCTTTCCTTTATAGGAAGTCTAGATATGCTTATTCTGAATTTTGTAAATAATTGTCACAATGAGTTTAGAATGACCAAATAAGTAATATAATTGCAGCATGCTATTAGGGATTAACCAAGACTTTCTACTAAAATCCTCTAAGGCAACATAAAGTCAAGGCCATCTCAAAATATGTAGATACCCAATATTGCAGTCAAAATATTTCTTAGATTAGAAGCTATATTTGATCACAGTGAGGTTTGTGCCTTCATCTACCAACCTAGCATGACCAATTATTTTATCTTTCCTTTATAGGAAGTCTAGATATGCTTATTCTGAATCATATTGGCAAGTCCTACTTCAATTATTTCGACTGGGACATCAGACATGTGCAAAAACTTATGGACATCAATTTCCTAAGCTATGTAACAATGACAATTTCAGCTCTTCCCATGCTTAAGAACAGTGGAGGAAGCATAGTAGTTGTTTCATCCATGGCAGGTAAGCATTAACTTACAGTGGCCTCAGAATCTTAAAGCCATTTCAAATATTATTGGTTTTCTTGTTTTCAGAATTACTTGTGATGTTGACTGTTATAATCATATGACTGCAAGCTTAAGTGATTACAGCTTATGTATACCCAACCTCCCTTTTCTAATATACATAATCATCCTACATGATGGTTAAATCACAACTTTTACTGCATTTTTGCAGTTGAGATATTTTGTATTAGGGAAACACATGAAGCTTCTGCAGGTGCTCATTCTTTGAAGAACAACAAGGGTTAGATATTTTTCACAAAAGAGACTCTGGTATAATATTACTTTTTACAGTATGCAAAATACATTGTATGTGAGTTTTGGCAGATGCATATTCAGCTATCCCATGTTCTTCAGGGTTTCTAGATTATACATTCTAGTCTTTTCTCTCTGTTTTTGACACATATCTATCTTGAAATGTTAATGCCTTACTAATTGAAAATTATGTCTAGTATGCCAAATCAGAATAATAGCAGTTTATTGAGAATTGCTTGATAATCATCAAAGGCTTCTAAAAAGGAATAACTTTTTAAACAATTCATACTAGAGCTACTTGAGATCTATAATGTAAAGCAAAGAAAGGCATGCTTTCTAATGTACCTAAAGAAATAAAAGTCAGAAATGGAAAAGGAAATGTTTCCTTTGCATCCCAGTTCAATGTGTCTAAGAAAAGTATCTCTCAAGGAAAGTAGGCTTGTAGCCAGATATGAGTTTGGGGCTTGGTTAGGGCAAGGAATCAAAAGTGAGCTTTAGGAAGCAAAAAGCAACATATAACCTCTCCATTTAGATAGTCTTCCAGTATAGAAGCATGAATTTCCGGTTCATATTGAATAGAGTTTAGTTTGGGATTCCATTTTAAATATATATTCTTTGTACTTGGATGCAAACTGACAGTTATCTGAGTAATTCTCACTCAAATTATTCACTCTTTAATTTTTTTAAAAAATTGTTCTATTCTTCCCCATGCTGGAGAAACAATTGAATGTAATGTTATATGTAATTAAACGTATAATCCATATGTTTAAAAATACACACTTATCTAGTTATATTGACCAATTTGTTGCCCATGTACTGTGGATGACCAATGGCATAGGAAAGATAAGAGGAGCTATGCCAGTCCAAGATCAGTGTGCTCTTGCAGGCTCCCGTGATGCTGCGAGGCTGCCAGTGACCATCTCTGAAGTAAATTGGTTCAGCTGCTACTCCAGAGGAAATAGATTTACAGTATATCTTGTAACTGTGGGTCAGTCAGTTCGCCACTTGTGGGAACTCTCACCTTGTCCAGCTTCTTAGCTGTTGAGACTTTTCATTTCTAAAGTGACAGAGGAACCTTGCTGCCATTCCCATTGTTTTCTGTCTGTTTTGGAGCGTAGCTTTAGCCAGTTGTGGAATTTCTTTATTTTTTTGGTGAAAAGTAAATGAGTGAGGAAAGGAGAAGGAAGGGTCCAGGGCACCAGTTAGTTTCCATTTTTAGTGCTCTGAATTGATTCAAGAGGGGGAGAATACATCATGGCAGTTCCAATTCACTTGATTCCTTATATGTTTCTTATCTGTGACATGTCCCAAGCACCTAAAAGACAGACTTCCTATCAGAAGTAGTTGTTCTCCAAAAGTAACTATATGTTGGCTGATTTTTTTTTTCTTTGTATACGCCATGATCTAGGATCTCTTCTGAAATTGTTCATTATAATGTTTATATATTGTTCCATCCCTTGCTTCAAGAGTTCTCTTCTCCTTTTGTAACTTCAGTGGATCTTAGATGATTGTGTTACAATTGCCTGATAACCAGCTACTCTAATTCCTCATACATTTTCTCATGCTCAAGGATAGGCATCAAGATATTAGAATATCCATTTTTTATGCAACACATGGATTACCAGATCACAATCCAGGGATCTTATCTCTTTCTTCAAACATTTTGAACCATGGGGAAATTATGAAGCCATGAATTTTCCAGCTTTGTTCTCACTGACCAATCTTGAATCTTCTCCAGTTCCTGTGATGTAAAGTCAGATTTCTGCTTGCTATAGATAAGGACTGGTGGGAATATTTGCATCCTAATATTGCACATGTTTACTCAGAATGAGTTTGTGGCATATGGGTTTTAGTGGCCTGGCATGACTGCAGTTGTGCTGGTGTGAGTCAGCAAATGAAGTGAGAAAAGGGGAGAAGAAGAAGCTCGGTTCTGGGTTTGAAGGGCAGGTGTGCTGTCATGAGGGCTGATAAGCTAACCTGATTGCTACCCAGGGCTGTTGTGGGGAGAAGCAGAGACAGCTGTCCCATTGGTTCAGCCTTGCTGGGGAGTAGAGTTCTGGGGGGACACCACCTCTTCAGTTGCAGGGGGACATGCTGCCAATCTGATTAAAAATTGGAGAGAGAGAAAGAGAGGAGAAAAGGAAGAGAGAAAAAGACTGCAAAACAGTGGCTGGAAAGGAAAGTTCAAGGGTGGAGTTATGTGAGTGTGCAGAGCAGTTGACTGTACCTGGTCTGAGAGGGAGAAAAAAGGCCCACAGGTGGCTTCCCTGGAAGAAGAGAAGTGAAGACCCAGAGAGAGGTGGCATCTTCATGCAAGACCCAAGATGGGGAAGAGGGGATTGTCAGTCACTAATGAACCCCTGGGGTCTGGGGAAGGACTGGGCAGAAGACCAAGAGAGAGGTTTTCTCCAAACAGAGAAGCAGTAGGTGTTTGGCTGAGCAGATCCAGGAGAAAGTCAAGCCATGTTCAGCACACTACAGTAAATCCAGCCCAGCCGTTTCTTTTCATTCTCTCTTGATAAGCTCAGAAATGGGAGGGAGGGGGAGACAGAGTGAAAAGGGGAGGAAGTAGGAGAATTAGAATGGGATAGTCTCTGGGAGGGAGACTTAGGAAGAAACCTGATACCGGATAAACACCAGGATTATGTTGTATATACTTGTTGTAAATACCTGCTATAAATAACCTCACTGTATATAGTAAAAAGCATAAAAGCCTCCACTGTCTAGTTCCTCTGTGTCAATTGCCACCCTTGCAAAGCAAAATGGGGCCGTCTTTTCCCAGTTGTTTCTACCTGTCCAATCCGGTCCGGCAGGTTGGGCACGCTCCGGGTCCTGTCAGCCAAGGAATGTCGGCTGGTGGGGACCAGGAGACTTGCTTTTTTTGCTGCGGCGCCTGCCCTCTGGAATATCCTCCCTCCTGAGATTAGGATGGCCCTGACCCTTTTGGCTTTTTGGAAGGCCTTGAAGACCTGGCTTTATGCCCGGGCCTGGGGCCCTGAGTGTGTGAAGGGCCCCGTTTTGTGGTTATGCTGATAATGACCGTTTTTTAAGATCTCTTGGCTGCATTTATATTTAATTTTTTTCTACTGTTTTAAATGTTGACTGTTTTTATTGTTGTTCACCACCCAGAGTCACTGAGATGGGCGGCTATATAAACTGAATGAATGAATGAATGAATGAATGAATGAATGAATGAATGAATAAAATACATCTCCAGTTCAAAACAATCACACCACACTGTGACAGAGTTCAGTATTATTTACTCCCAACCAATAAGGACACTTAAGAATATGGCTCCTAGGGGTCTAGCAGGGTCTCAGGCTGCAAATCTGTCAGGTAAATTCCATACTTGTGCATTATATATATATATATTCTGTAAGATTCTTTTTTTTGTTATATTCTGTTTTAAAATGTTGAAACGTTATGCTTTTTTTTTTAATACATAGATAATTTTCAGGCAATCTCATCTGGAAGCATTTATGATCAAATACAGTGATTAAAAGAAATAAACATTTATTTTTGAAAGGTTGAAAGTATGAGGAAAACAAAAGCAGAAGGAAAACAATCAGCCAATACTTATATAGGGAAGGACTGGACAAAGAAAGGTCCTCTCTCCGTGCCAAAATGTTCTAATAATGGGCACTTCCCACATTTCAGAGAGGAGGAGTTGCTTTAAAGACAAATGAGCCGGGTAACGTTTGGGTGGCCAGAGCTGCATTTAATTTATTCTGTGGGAGGGGCTGGAAGGCCAAATTGAAGACAATGATGCTGCTGATGTATAATGGGGAGGCCCCATTGCTGTGCGCAAGGTTTTTTTCTTTTGACATTTCAGGGCTGAAATTAGAGTTTTTCTTTTTCCCTCTTAAAAAAAAAATAATAAACAGATGTTATAGTTTTCATGTCTTCTCTACCTCTGAATACTAGAGAATCTTTGGCCACTTTGCAACTGAAATTTGGTAGTATAATTGAAAGAGGCTTCAGGATCAATTCATCTTGAAAACATTGAAACATATGTGATATCTTTTAAAGAATTCTTACAGTTGAAATTGTGCCAAGGTTCTGAGTGCTTACATAACTTGGAAGGGGTTGATAAACAAATAATGAGCACATAAATAGAATCAGGGAGAAGAAAAAATGTATTTCATACATCTCTAAAGCAATATTAGTTATACTTCATGGTGCAGTATAAATAAAATTTATCTTGTCTAATTGTGACATTTCTAGGCAAAATTGGCTTCCCATTCACTGTTACTTATTCTGCAACAAAGTTTGCACTACATGGATTTTTCAGCTCTTTGAGGCAGGAATTTGTCATGCAGAACACCAATGTTTCCATCACACTCTGCATCCTTGGACTCATCAACACAGGTACAATTCTCATTGTCCAAATCTGATTTTTAGGACCTGGACTTCCTTGTCAGATTGATGCTGGGTTCAATATCCTCCAGATGTCAACCTTATGCAAATTATTTGCTTAACATTTTTAAAAATTCAAAATAGTTATGAATTAGCCTTAAAATACAAACTGGTCCCCTACCAACCTATTGACATTAGAACTCCCAGTATTCTCCAGCCATCCTGAAGAGCGCAAAATTGGCAAATCTATCATAGATTGTAAAGCCATGAGATATTTGTTTATTTTTTAAATGTTCACTTAGCTCTCAAATGAGGACTGGTGACACTTTACAAAAAAATAGATAATACATTGGAGGGCCTAATAAATAAAATCTGCAAATTGATTTGGAAAAGAATGTGCAAGTTTTCATTTTAATAATGAAGAATCATTTTTAACCGAAAATATTAAGTTTTATCAGCCAAATATAAAATATCCTCCTTTGTTTTTTCTGGATATCATAAATCAGTTTTTCTCTAGCCAGAGATTTTCAGCTATGTTGAACTGAAGAGTGTACAGTATAAATCCAATATTTAAGAAAATGTAATACAAATCCATGTTGGTATCTACAGTACTAAGGATTTATTTCAGTCCATTTGGACCTTCTAAGATTGTTTTTTTTTTTAATTAACAAAAATTACATTCATTTATTATTCACAACTTTCCAGACATATGTATATGTAAGTGTTCCCAAAATTTTCTTCCTTAGATGCATCTTTCATAAATGTTCCTTTTCGATTTTTGGATTTACATAGCTGCAGTGGATGTGCTGTGGATTAATCTGTTTTAGCAATTTCAACAGATATCCATGACAGGTTCCTTCCTTTCTTCTCTGGTTTTCATTAAAAATAATCCTAAACAGTGTCTAACAACACATATTAACAAAAACATATAAGATTATAAAATTAAAACATAAAAACTATACTATATGGGTATTGAATAATGAATGACATGTAAGTTTAACCCGTACTTAGAGCTGATGGCCAAAGCTCATAAGACTAATGGGGAATTCCACAAAAGAAACATCTGAATTGAGAATTCCCTCCCTTAAGTTTCCACATAATGAATCTCCAGCAGATGTGGCATTGTCAAGAATGGTAATTGTTGGGCTAGTCATACTGTAGAGCTCTATGTGGACTCAATTCCCATTATCTCTAGTCAAGAGAGGGGAAGGTAATCACAACTTTTAGATAAGTACAGCAACTGAGTACTAAAAAAGGTCAATTTTTAAGATTATTTTTTCATAAAACTGATGATACTGAATTATAAGCATCACATCTTTTATTGTGAATTCTTTTGGTGACATAAGTTTGTTCAGAATGGACCAGTATAATTCACTGCAGGACACATTTTAGTGTGTGCAATATATGTAGTATGAAATCATTACCAATCCACAGTTAACCTTTTATTCTCTCTCCCTCTCCCTCTCCCTCTCTCTCTCTCTCTCA